CCCAGGGGAGCTGCGATCCCCCACGATCCCCCCCGAAATGACCTCTGGCCATATGTAAATTATTAGTTAATTGTTAAGTTATTAAGTTTATTTTATTTCTCTGAAGTCTGGAGTTTTAACCCAACTGTGAAAGTAGTTACTGGAAATGTTCCCTACCCTGAGCCCTGTATATGGGAGAGTGCGGGCTATAAGTCGAATGAAATATGTAAATAAATAAAATATTCCTCTCCATTCCTGCAGCCCCTTCTAATACACAGAATGGTAACTCCTGGGATAGCGGGATCTGCATGGAGAAGAGTTGCACGGACCAGGGAGCTAGAGTGAGGAGATATGAGGGGACAGAATCATCCCCGCCCCTCAACAGAACTGCACTTGTGGAAGAAGGAGGAACAGTTTTTTATTTCCTTGTCCTTTCTCATTCAGGCCCTCTGGCCTAGACAGCAATTCCTCCCTGCAGATCCCACAACCCCAGGAATGGCATTTTTGAAGGAGCTGCAGCAACAGAGAGAAATACAGCAAAAATCTGCTTTCTGTGCACAGATGGTTGATCCAAGTCAATATTTCTTTTTCTTGGCTGTTGTTCTTTATAGAATAAAAAGTCCATTTGCATTCGTGACCAGGTGTACTATGTGGAACACACAATGTGTGAAGATAATATATCTGTTATGGTGGACTAATACTGTTTTCCCACTTCGATTTTAGTGGTAACCTGGATAAACAGACGGCATTGGGAAATACAGTTCTGCACTACTGCAGTATATATAATAAGCCTGAATGTTTGAAACTGCTTTTGAAGGGCAAGCCAACTATTGATATAGGTGAGTGAGTCTGCTTCTATGGGATATTTAAAAAAAAATGTGATAGAGCAAGTTTTTAAAAGGGATATTGGCTTTAAAATGATACTTTAGAATTCATTCCAATAGTGTATTGCTGTGTCATTTATTTAAAGGAAGCGTTTTCAGCTTGGATCACAAACCTGAAACACTTAAAAATCTTTCTTGGGTAATTAAAAATACCTTCTTCCTTAGGGCAAATCTCTTGGTGATTCCTGATCTGCATTTTCATATTTCAAATTCAGCTTTGATGATTGAGCTCAGCTATTTTGTCTTTGATGTTAGTTTGTTAGAATGATCCCCTGCTCCTGCTTTCCCAGAGAGCGAAAATTCAGGGCAACCTCTGCAAGGTTAATTTTGTGCATGTGTTTTTTTTGTTTTTGTTTTTAAAGCTGCTTTAGAATATTGAGCTTTAAAGTGTCCCCCTGAAAATCCATATATTTGCAGATTTACACATAAAGGGATGGTCAACAGCACCCCAGTAGTATTTACTCCCGAGACAGGCTCAGCGCTGTTCCTGAATCCATGATGCTCAGAGCCCTCCGTCTCTCCCCTACAGTCCCTATTCTTCTACCTCCCAAGAAAGACAAATCTCATCTTGTATGTTGCTGAAAAACAACAAATGTTGCTCCAAACCTATACACCTACTGTTAAGTCCAGTGCTTAACAAAATAGTCAGAGAGTGATTTCAACAAAACTCAGGTTTATTCAGTTCGACGATCACTTCTCTAACACGGTACAACTCCTGATAGCCGAACAGCTTTTCCATTGCAGCTGCTCGGTATTTAAACATTCCGGGCTAATGTAGCCACACCTACTATACAGATATCAACCTATCAGGTTGAGCGCATAAAGGCCAATCACAAACGTTCCCGCTTTCAGCCTGTTCGAATGTGATTGGTTGCATTTGTCTTCGGCTTGAATCCCTGCCGAAGACGAAGCTTTATATTGCTTCCTTATGAGATGATTCACATACATCTTAATACATTCATGGCAGCATCTGAATACATTACACCTACCGTCCTTGATTTTCTTTTTCATTCTATAAATTGGCCGGCTCAAATGAGTGTTCTTCGTCTCTTTGAATTCAGAACCTAAAAAGGTTAGTCAGGAATAGAGAAGGGCCAACTCCAAAAATCTAATTATAAAATATACAAAAATATATATGTGTGTTTATTCAACATAAATTAAAATAACAAACAAGGGCCCATTTATAGCTCATATAAAACTATAAAAACATACAAGGGCTAATAAGATAGACCTAACGCGTTTTGGCCTTTACAGGCCTTCCTCAGAGGTCTAATACATACAGAACATATTGGCTGATGTGCAAAAATACATACAATCCTACATATACAAAATATGGAATAAAGACCAGAAATCAATTGTTCCAAAGTTTACCCACTGGGCAAGGAAAAGAAATACAAAAATACAAATGAAGCCTCCAGTGTAATCACATGTCCAGTGGTACTTCTCTCCAGTCAACTGTATATTCTTCTGAGATTGTACAGCCAAATGTTCCCAATAAAATGTTCCTTAGGTTAAAAGCAGTCTCTTTGAAACCATAATTTTAATTATGGTAATTTCATAACATGTGAATTCTTCTTGTTGATCAGTAGCTTTATTTCTGCATCACTCGAAGCGTCAAAGAATCAGATAATACAACCAAATTATTCTTGGGGAACATTAGCCAGTTTGATCTTCATTTCATCTTATTTCTTTCAGTTAGCCTTTCAAAATACTGAATTTCATTAACATTTTGCAGCACGGTTTGAATAATTATTTAACTTATTTAAATGTACTAGTAAACCAAACTGGAGAGACACCTCTGGATGCGGCAAAGCGATTGAAAACGACTCAGTGTGAAGACTTGGTAAGGGGGAAAAAAAGCATTGTGTTTCCTTATTATCTGTGCTGGGTGGTTCATCTGACAGTTCTTGTGTTTACAGATGTTGGAGTTTATGGCTGGCTTTATTTCAGTGGCACAGTCCATTTGATTTATGACTGGTTTTGACATGCTGTAGTGTGTGTCATTTTTATTCTTTATTTTGTATTTCTTTTTGTTGCTGTTGGAAGCTGCCTTATGAATCCATGTGGGCTGAGAGTGCAGGGCATAAATTTATTATGGAAATATAAGTCAGTTACACACAGGATGCTTTTGGGAAGCTGGGTGTCCCCCCACTTCCCCACAGCATTGTGGTGCTCTCATGTGCCCTCTGGGCTTTCCTCAGTTTTCTTGCAGACTTTCCCAAACCTGCCTTGCTGCAGTGTTTTAAGAAAAGCTGGGGTAACCACCGTGTGGGCAGTCCTCACATCAGTGCCATTTCCTCTGCCTCAGGCCCCAAGGACAGGGGTAGTTTCGTAGAAAAAGAGCTAGGGGAACTCATTAGCATAACTCATTAGCATATGCCACACCCCCTGACATCAGGGGCCCGGCGGTGGACCTGCAAGGCCGGCAGGAGTGCGAGGAAGCTCCGCCAAGGCCCTCCCTGGCCCCAGGCAGGCAGGGGTGGGGAGAGGTAGGGAGGAAGCAACTTACCCTCCCTCTTCTCCTGCCTCCTCCTGGCTGAATGAGGGCCGGAAGCGGGGCGGTCGGAAGCAGGGGGTGTGGCGTTGTCATGTGCCCCGCCCCCCCACACCTCACCCGGGGGAACTGCGATCCCCCGCGATCCCCCCCCCCAATGACCTCTGCCCAAGGAAGTAATTTTATATGCTTTTTAAGAGGTTTTTTTTAAAAGAAGGCTTTTTAAAATCCACAGTTCACATATTGTTATAGCATTGTAACTCTCTACTAGTTTCTCTGAACTGCCAGTATTGGGGGGGGGGGAACCATTTCATTGTGGAGATAATGCTTTTCCCCTTATATCTCTGCAACAAAAGAGGCCGCAGACTTCTTTGTTAAAATCAAAGGTGGGAATTCGGAGGACCTAGGCCCCCCCCCAAAAAAATCATTAGAATGATATGTCAGTAGCCAATTTAAAACCAAAAAAACGAGAAAGCCCCCAGTGACATGGGGCATCTGCCCTGGGAGACTGGGGCAGGAAACCCCATAGCTGTCGCACTGTATCAACAACCTCAGTGGCATTAGAGAAAGCTCCCAAGCCCATCCTCACATAGAAAACACCACACATGTTAAATTATAGTTGTGGGATTAAGAAGATGATGATACAGAATATCTAATCTGCAGGGCAATTCAGTATAGAATCTGTTTTCCTGTGCTATTCACAAGGGCCCACTGAACCCTCCCAGCTGAATTTCAGGAAGCAAAGCAGGCTGTAATAGGAAGGGGGAGGGAGGGAGGTTGCCTTCCATTAGTGCAGTTCTTCTCCCATCGCTTAGGATCCAACCCTGTATATCTAGCACCAAAATGCAGAATTCTGAATTTTCATTTGCAAAAGAACATGAGGACAGTTAGGTAGTGGCCACCTGTCATGTATTAGTCACGCAGCATTTTTGCAACTCATATAAAATGCTCCATGGAACTTTGCTTAAACCCCCCCCCCAGCAGCACAGAACTTCAGTATTTCCCCAAAGCACTATTTTTGCAAGGAATGGAAGTTAGCTTTCCTTGTTTTTTAGAGTCTGAGTTACGTTTGGTTCCTGATTTATTGGTAGAATTACCTAGATCACCACTCTAGACCTCTTGTGTACAGCCAGGCAGCCCATACATTAAATGTGGAACAATAAAGTAAGTTTTTCCTTTAAGATGTAAGATTCACATTTCCAAGTTATGTCTTTTCAGCTTTCTCAGGCCAAAGCCGGAAAGCTAAACCCACATGTACATGTAGAGTATGAGTGGAATCTTCGGCAGGAAGAAATTGATGAAAGTGATGATGACTTGGATGACAAGGTAAAGAGGAGCTTTGGGTGACCGTTTTCCATATTGGAGTTGTAGTCGTGACTTCCACCTTCAGTGCCTCCCATCTTTCCACCTTGATCTCTGAAGCTTAGGAGAGCTGCTGCTTTGTCCTAAAGATGTAGCCCTGTATGTGGTTTTAGAAGGAAGTCAGGCGTGTCCTTCTTAGGGCCAAGCTAGATGATACCATGACTCTGAGTCTGCCATTGAAGAGCCTGTTGTTTAACTTTTAAAAATCGCAGTGGTGGTGGTGGGTCCTAGCAAAGACAGCTTTGAGGGAGCTGAGGGGCTCCTGTCCCCTCCCCACACCATTTTCAAGAGCTGAAACATTTTTTTTGGGGGGGGGATTTTAAAAGTTTTTAAAAGGCTCTAAAATTGTGCCATATGCCCATGGCGGACTCAGGGATATGGTATTGTCTAGTTTCGCTTGTAGAATGTAATTAATAGTAGGTAAGTGCCCCAATGTGTTGGTAGTCATGAATGGCAGTAGGCTACACACATGCACTTAACAGCTGAAAGTCTCCAAATGCATTTATGGCTGAATTGTCTCCAAATTCCTGCCAGTAGAACAGATGATTGGTGCTAAATGGCGGGATGGGGTGGTGGGACAAAAGGAGAAAGTTTAGAAGCAGGGATTGAACTAAAAATAATTAGGGATTGGATTGGATTGAAGTCATTAAAATTGCTAACGCATTCAAAGAACAATCATAATAACTAGGGTTAAGCAGCTCTGTGTGCCTAATTGTGTCAAATGTATTGTTTCTTAGTGTTTATACATTGGTGATTCATGTTAATGTTTTTGTTCTGGAAAGCCTTTGAATGACTGAACGGAATGACAATTCCTAGTGCTCTTTAAAATGTTCATTTAATGTTATGCCATGTCGCTGTGTGGTTTTGTGGACTGTAAACGACTTTAGGTGCTGCATTAAGTAGTAAGGTGATGTATGGTTTATTTGGTTTATTGACACGTGTAATCCGCTTTGAGTCCCTGTGAGAAAGGTGGGCTATAAATAATAGACAAGCATCCATTACACAGAAATTGTGAGAGCAGGTGATAAATGGTCTTAATCCGCCAGGTGCTTCTCAAAGTCCTGTAGTTTGCAAGCTGGCATGTACACTGAATAAGAATGGGCATAACGTATTCCTATTTTCTTAAATTTGGTGGTTCAGTGGGTATTTACTCCTTTGTAAAACACACAAAGAACAAATTTTGTAATCTTGATAACTGGTAAATAATTGCTGGGGCCTGCCTTGATAGACCAGGCTCACCTGGTCTCGTCAGATCTTGGAATGGAAGCGAGGTTGGCCCTGGCTAGTATTTGGATGGGAGACCACCAAGGAATACCGGGGTCATGTCACAGAGGCAGGCCCCAGCAAACCACCTCTGAATGTCTCTCACCTTGAAAGCCCTACAGGGTTGCCATAAGTCAGCTGTGTGACCTGACAGCACTTTCCACCACCAAATAATTGCAAGCTTCTCTCTGCCCTTTGAAGGTCAATCCCTGCCCTCATAATCGTCTTTCTCAGAAGTGGGAATACCACTCTGTGCAGCTTCACAGCTCTGTCCCATTTACACATCCATCTCAAAATGTGGCTTCCTTAGGGAATGACTTCGTAATTCAGTGGAATGCTAATAGAACAGCACCAGTGCCATTTTTTTTTTAAAGAAGAGGAATTTTGGGAAGCACTTTGACAGGATAATTATCATGGGGGGGGGGGGATTTAACCACAGAACTCTTTATAAATTACTTGGACCACCCACATCCATCTCAAAATGTGGCTTCCTTAGGGAATGACTTCGTAATTCAGTGGAATGCTAATAGAACAGCACCAGTGCCATTTTTTTTTTAAAGAAGAGGAATTTTGGGAAGCACTTTGACAGGATAATTATCATGGGGGGGGGGTGATTTAACCACAGAACTCTGTCCCATTTACACATCCATCTCAAAAAGTGGCTTCCTAAGGGAATGACTTCGTAATTCAGTGGAATGCTAATAGAACAGCACCAGTGCCATTTTTTTTTTAAAGAAGAGGAATTTTGGGAAGCACTTTGACAGGATAATTATCATGGGGGGGGGGTGATTTAACCACAGAACTCTTAATACATACTTTGGACCACCTATGGGAAAAGCTGTTTCTCTATTCTTTCTCCCCCACCCTCAGACTTCCTCACCGCAAAGTGTGTTGTAGCTGAGTATTGGATAAAATTGTATTTCCTGTCTTAAGATGCTTTCAATTGCCAATATCCTTATGGGCCTCCCATATATACTTAGGAATCTCCCTGAATCATTTTGCTGCTAGAATCAGATTTGCATACATACTGCAAAGCTGCCTCTGCTATTGGACAGTAAAGCTCTTGAGTACACCAGAGGCCTGTGTGCATGTTTGGTGTGTGCATGAATACAGTTTTCCAAATGGGACTGTTTTCTCTTTGAATAATCATGAGGAAACCACGGTGCTCAAAGGCTTGGACCTTGCAGAACATTTTCTCTGAAAGAAGAGATTTTCATCAATGAAGCATGTCTTCTTCACCTCTCATTGCATCCCAAAATGCCCCCTGAAATATTGTGGGGTGGGGACGGGACGCTGAGGAGCCCTAGGAACAGCAAAAGTAGGGAGTTGGAAGTCTGTAGCAGGGAGGGGAATCAACAAAAATCCCCCCCCCTCCACTCGGGGAAGTCCTGTACAGGATCCAATCCAAAATTATTAATTAATGCTTGTTTCTGTTTCGCAGTTATTTTTAGTGGAACCACATGGCACATATTAATAACTGTTTTAAATCTTTCTGCAGCCTAGTCCGATAAAGAAAGAACGCTCTCCAAGACCCCAAAGCTTCTGCCACTCTTCTAGTATTTCTCCCCAAGACAAAATGGCTCTTCCTGGTCTCAGCACTCCAAGAGACAAACAAAGACTCTCCTATGGAGCTTTTCCCAATCAGATTTTTGTCTCTGCAAGCATGGACTCGGCAACTTCCCCCACTGCGGCAGATGCCCCTCCACTTCCTCCCAGAAATGCTGGCAAAGGTATGTTGCTAAGTATTTGTAAGCATTTGTTGTTCCCTACCATGATTCACTGTTGTTTTTTTCCTCCTCACTTCTACAAATGTTCGAAGTGATTTAGCATTCTGAAATACTGTGTTCGTCACCACTCAAAACACTTACATTTGTCAGCTCATGTAATAACTAGTAAGAAAATTCACCTGAACTATTTTTCAGGCAAAAACCATGTAGTTCTTCATGTGTGGTTTGGGGTGTTTTTTTTTTTTTGGGGGGGGGGTGTTCCAGTTTTGCCTTTTAATCAGGAGAAGGCTACAGAATGACTCTCGTGGAAGAAGAATACAGCCACAATTCTTGGATGCCTTAGCAAATTGTCCTGCAACGTATCTGGCTTCTTATCATTCTACCAGAATAGCTACACTGTCCTCAAAAAGGATTTGTGAGCGCTGGAAAAAAATTATGCATTTGCTGCAAAATGGATATGGCCAAGGAGGCTTCTGGTATCTGGCCAAGGGAGCTTTGACTCTTGAAAGCTTCTATCCTGGAAATGTTGCTGGTCTCCAAGGTGCTACTGGGATCAAATCTTGCTCTTCTACAGCAGACCACCACAGCTACCCCTGTGAAGCTATGGCTTTGGGGGGTGGGTGGGGAGACTGCCTACTTATTATTATTCTTCCCCCACACACACACTTAAGGTACATTCTGTTATGAGAGTATTCCATTTAATCAGTACTTGGTTTGTGGCTGCTGGGTGATGCAAACTTTCCCCTGATAGTGCATCCATTGGTTTCACAATTGTTACATGTAATGTTGCACAAAACTCATGGGCCCTATTAGATATCGTGACTATCTCCCCCACTCTAGTCCTTCCCTGTGTGCAGAGCATATTGTGGTCTTTAATTAAAAGGTCCTTTTTTAAGACTATGGACCCTCAGTTCATTTGGCCATATATTTTTTTAAAAGCAGCATCTCTCATAGGCTCACTTGTGTAACGAATGAGTGACTTAAGAAAGGTTTCACTGCTGTAGTGCTGGCAAGTAAAAGCATGAAACCTATTGAGCGTGTGCATATGTGTGCATTGGCTATCAGCTCCCCTAATCCATGGACTACAAAGTGAGATGAGATACACAGCAGAATGGTGCCACTAGAGTGCATAGAAATTGCATCAAGACTCGGTAGCTGAACATTCTCTCTAGAAAATGCAGCCAAAACTAGGCCTGAGCTAAGAAGGGGGTGGGGTGTCACTTTTCAGCAGTGGCAGAAAGCATATACATACCCCTTTCAGTGTTGGGGGGGGGGAGTCTCCTCCCTAGCATTTATGCACCCTGAATTGGTGTGATTCGCTTTTAGTAATGTTGGCAGGTAATCAAATCTGGTTATGTAGGACACTGCCCCATTCATTGTGTGATTCCCACTTGACTGGGGTTGCCCACATGACCCAGCATTGCCTTCGCTCTGATGTACTCTCAGTGATAATTGTTAAATAGTTGCATCTGACTGGGATATGGAGCATTGTGACATTATCCCACTCACTTCATGATCCCCAACTGGCTGGGATCATGATCTGAGTGACAAGGAAGAAGATGATGGAGTAATGAGAAGGGGGGGAAACAGCACCAAAGTAGTAGCAAATAGTATAAACAACAGCAGCAAACATGCTCACACAACTCAGGATGTATGGGGTTGGAGTTTTTGTTGTTGTTGGGTTTTTTGTTTGCTTTTCCAAAATATTTCAGGTCCTTTGAGGACACTACAGTCAAAAATCAAAATGCAAGAACCTGTTTGCTTTGATATCTCAAAGAGCTGCCCTTAAGACGTTCCATTGAGCGAATTTGTGAAATGAACAAATGGCATTTTAATGAGATTTGTTCTGTTGCTAAATGGAAATATAAATTTCTGACATGCAAAGTTCTTCAGTATTTCACAGAGGTGAAATCTGTACAGGTCTCTTTTGAAGTATCAGTGAACAATTTATATTTCCTCAAGCTCAGTGAACCCACAGATGCTATTAAAGTACTATTTTTAACAAAATTGCTCTTTCTTCTGGTACTAGAGATGCTATTAACAGGAATTATGGTTCCACTATATCTCATTTATTTGTGTGTGTGTTTGTGTGTGTGATATTCCCCACTATCTGAGACCTCTTCAATGGATAATAAAGGCCCTGCATAGTATTTACCGATGAAGTACAGGCCCCCTTGATTAGTTCTGATCCAGCACCACCTATGCTAAAATACAGTAGACTGTTAGGGCTTCAAAAGTCTGGAATTAATACACCATGTTTGGTAGGTGTAGCATAAGGAAGTACATCAAAATTATCTAGTAGGGAAGTTTATTTTACAATTCAGATAGCATTGTGCTCAACACTGCATATGCAGTCATCACTGCAAAATGTTTTCAGTTATTCTTTTCACACTTTGGGTTCATAGCTGATGCTTTTTCCTGTCCTGATGAACTATCCTTTTATGGTCTAGAAACAAGTAATGCCCCAAACATATTCTCCAGTGTTTTGCTTACAGTGGGGTTTTTTGTTCCATAGAACAGTTTTTGGTAAATATATCATCCCTTCATTGGTTTTAACAAGACAGTGTTTGTCAACACTACTGGATTCTTTCCAACTGTGTCCACTTAACTAATCTAGCGAAGAACTGCCTCTTGGTGTCTCTGTTTACCCACCTGTAAAGCAGATGCATTGGTAAAGTTACCAAATGTCACGGAAATATCAGTCCCAAATAATTGCCTTGTTTTGAGATAACTAGTAAAATGTGATCACATTCAGCTTTTTTATATTAAGTCAGCACTGGCACATTTTCTCATTTTTCATGAACCATTTAGTATTTTATGCAACGGAGTAAAAATATGATTTACCGTTTGCAATAAGGCTCAGTTAGCTGCACTTGCATGAGCAGTTTCTGAGCGGTTATAGAGATTTAGGATGAGTTAGCCAGAAGTCTTAATGCAGAGAGCCTATTGTAATGTTACAGCAACCAGTCACCAAGCTGTTATAAGCTATCAGGAGCTCCTCACGGGCCGTGCTCCTTTGCTTCCTCCATCTTCATTTTTTTTTTTTAACCAAAACATTTTATTTTTTTTCAACCACAAAATATAACAGCAAACAAACAAAAGTTACAGATATCCACATATCAGACACATACTTTCAAATGTACTTTTAAAGTTAGGTTTCACAAAACAAAGTCTTAAAAGTCATAGATATTTTAACCCAGTAGTAACAATTTATATTTCATGTTGTAGATAGTTTCCCAATCAAAATTTTCAAAGGTGAGTTTATCTATAATGGGATACCATTTCCCAATAGGAAAATAGGAATTTCACATTCATTTTGATCTGTGGTGTTATAAATAGAAATGGTTTCATATAAAAAATATCTCCAAACTTTATATAACCACACATTTATAGATGGAGGGTCTTTATCCTTCCATTTCACCGCTATAGCGTTCTTAGCAGCTGTTAATAAAATATTGATTAATTGTTTTTGGTTAGTTGAAAAACTTCCTTCAGGCCATAGGTGTAATAACATAAGTTTCGGATCTAGAGGAATGTCATGGCATGTGAGGGAAAATATTTTAGTTTTTACATCCGCACAAAATTTAAGAATGTGTCTGCATGACCACCAGGTGTGATAAAAAGTAGCTCTCTCGCCACAAAGTTTCCAACATGATGATGAAATAGTGCTTGATATATGGGAAAGCCTGACTGGCGTTAAATACCAGCGTGAGAGCACTTTATAGGTAGTCTTCCTCCATCTTCATCATCGATCTTTGCGGTCCTACACAGGGACTGCGCGTGAGCAGGCCTGCCATCAAAGAGGTTTTTACAGCTAAAAGCCTCCAGGGGGTACTGCCACACTTGTTCCTGGCCAGGGGCTACGTGCTTCCGCACAGCAGTGCCCCTACCCTCAGTTCTTCTTTTGCCGCCAAAGGAAAAGCTTGGAGATACAGCAGCCAGAACTGTACACAGTATTTCAAGTAAGGCCATGCCATAGATTTCGGGCTGTTATGATATTGACCATTATAATTTCACTTCTTTCCTGGTAATCCCCAGCATGGAGTTTGCCTTTTCCCCACAGCTGCACACTGAGTCAACATTTTCATCAAGGTATCTGTTACACCCGCACTTCATCTCCATCAGTTCAGATCCCTTCAATTTATATTTATACGTTCAGTTTACGCTTGCCTGCATTGAATTTCATTTACCATGTCATCATTCGGTTTTACCTCTTAAATAAATTGGTATCATCCACAGGCTTGACCCACTACACTGCTCCCCCTGAATTTGGAATCATTTATGAATGAATTAAATAGTACAAGTCCCATTACCAGATCCTTTGGGGACCCTACTGCTTGTCCTTTCCATTCGGAGAACTGTCCGTTTGTGTTCTCTGTTTCCTGTCTTTAAACCAATCTATAATCCATAAGAGGACCCATCCTCTTATCTCATACTCCTAAGTATACTCAGGAGTATCTGGAGAGATACCTTGTCAAAAGTCTCTAGAAATCCAAGTATATAAAGTTATGTCTGCACCAGGCAGGCAAGCTCGTCATGCACCCATCACAGGACCTCACTTTCTATTTTCCGAATGATTGAATCTCCTACTACCAAAAGCCTGTCTCCTCCCAAATACCCAGAGGGGTATCCTCAGTATGAAAGGATATTCATTTGTTATCCATGGGCACAATTTAAGGTGGGGGCCCCCAACCTTTTTGAGCCTGCAGGCACCTTTGGAATTCTGACACACGATGATAGGCGTAACCACAAAATGGCTGCCGCAGGAGGTGGGGCCAACCACAGTTGTCAGGGAGTAATTATTAAAAAGAAATCAGGCAAAAGCCTTCTAATATGAAACTGTTGTTTAAAAACATGGTTTGCACACACACACACACACACACAGCTTACCTTCAGTCATGCAGTGAAGATCCTTAAGAACATAAGAACATAAGAGATGCCAATGTTGGATCAGGCCAAAGGCCCATCCAGTCCAACACTCTGTATCACACAGTGGCCAGAAATACCAGTGCCATCTGGAGGTCCACCAGTGGGGCCAGGACATTAGAAGCCCTCCCACTGTTGACCCCCCCCCCACAAGCACCAAGATGACAGAGAATCACGTTGCCCCAGAGTCCCTATCTATACCTTGTGGCTAATAGCCACTGATGTACCTCTGCTCCATATGCTTATCTAATTCCCTTTTGAAGCCGTCCATGCTTGTAGCCGCCACCACCTCCTGTGGCAGTGAATTCCATGTGTTAATCACTCTTTGGGTGAAGAAGGGCTTCCTTTTATCCGTTCTAACAGCAGTTTCATGGAGTGCCCACGAGTTCTTGTATTGTGAGAAAGGGAGAAAAGTACCTCTTTCTCTACCTAGCATCCTTGTGTTAGGATGGCTGCTACTGAAGCCATTTTTTAAAACTCTACACAATGCGATTTCCAGTGGCCAATCAGAAGCCCTGCTAGGCAAAAGCCCTACCTGATTCTACCTACTTTCTTAAAAACAGTTGGCAGGCTCCAAAAAAGTTGTCAGCAGGCACCATGGTGCACATTGGGAACCCCTGGTCTTAAGGAGCCATTTTCTCCTTCTCATCCTGGTCCTCATAACTCAAAATCATCCTCCTTCATGAGAGCAGAGGAGCTGTCAGCACAGGAGCAGGAGAGTTCTAGCCAGTCCCTGACGGTCTGGTCCACATCTCTCTTTCTTCAGCTGCCGGTCAAACAACCCTGTCCTGTTATTTTCCTGTGCGTATAAGTGCATTGTCCTTGTTTTAAAAGCTGTTTTCTTAAATGTGTCATGATTCTAGCATGTTTATTTTTAATCTTCCTCTTTATGTTCACATATATGTATAAAAAAGAAATTACAAGCATGTAACTTATTTCAGTATGAGAATGTTTTAATCACAGGTTGTTTAAATTGTGAATAGGCATTCACAATAGTTAAATTTTGACCTAGCATTGAAAACTTTACTTTGTCATAACAAAAAAAACCTTGATCCGTCCTCACCGGAAGTCACTTTTCCAATATAGTCATATTCCAGTATAGTTAGCAGGGGAACCAAGTATACTATATTTTTAATCAGTGATGATGATAACCCTTAGCATTTGTATAGTGTGTTCAAACAGCTTCACAAGGGGTGCTGTATGTTTCTTACAATAATCCTGTAAAGTAGGTGTTGCATTTTTAGCCTTGGATTTTAGATGGGGAGATGAGGCTTGGAAGAGTATGGATCCTCTGTACCCAAGATCTGTTTTGTTCAATGCAAAAGGAATTCTAACATGCTTCCCCAATTCCTTACTGTGCCATACTTTGAACTAAGTGTGAACTATTTATTACAAATCACCGCAAGTTGGAGATATGAGTAGTAGCATTTGGTTTGGTGTAGCGGTTAAGTGCGCGGACTCTAATCTGGAAGAACTGGGTTTGATTCCCCACTCCTCCGCTTGCACCTGGCTGGATGACCTTGGGCAAGCCATAGTTCTGATAAGAGCTGTTCTTGAAAAAGAGCAGTTTCTGTCAAGAGCTCTCTCAGCCCCACCTGCCTCACAGGGTGTCTGTTGTGGGGAGGGGAAGGGAAAGGAGTTTGTAAGCCGCTCTGAGACACCTTTGGGTAGTGAAGGGCGGGGTATAAATCCAATCTCCTCTTCTTCTTCATTTCTAAATAATGTTTTTATAAATGAAATCTGTAAACATGTAATAAATCAGCAATTATGGAATTTGCTGGATCTGTTACGCAGAAAGCCATCTCAAACAGTATTTGATTGCAATAGCTGTGTGTTCTATAGATAGTAACTTCCAAGCCACAGCTGTTCTGTCCCATGTAATTTTAAATTTGTAAAGATTAAGTAATTTAAGCTTCTTGCTGTGTCTAAATACTAAGCTCTAGTGCTTGCTTGCAGTCGCTTCTGCCTGCCTGTGTGTGCGCGTGGAGTTCCAGTCACACTGCTTGCATAGCCTTGTCGTTAATTTTGAGAGTGGTGCTGATAATTTTGTACCGAAACTTGGAATGGCTTACCTTTTGTTGTTGTTGATGTTTTCAGTGCTTTGCCATGCTTTACTGTGGTCTGATTTTTTGTTCCTTCCATGCTGCTTTGGTGTTAACTCATCCTTGTGTTGGTAAGCAGCTGTTTGTTTGGTTTTACAGGTGCGTCTGGCCCACCTTCAACCCTCCCTTTAGGCACTCAAACCACTAGCGGCAGCTCCACCCTGTCTAAGAAGAGGCCCCCTCCCCCACCCCCTGGACACAAAAGAACCCTCTCTGACCCACCAAGCCCACTACCTCATGGACCCCAGAATAAGGGCCAAATTCCTTGGGGTGAGTTTTAAAACACTTCAGAAAGAGAACTTGGAGAGGTGTATAAATATATATATATATGTGTGTGCGTGTGTGTATACATAGATATTGTTATGTAGATAGATCTCGTTAGTGGTGTTATATGAATATCATGAATCGCCTCAGCTCAGTTCCAATTTCACACCAGAGGCCACTGCAAATAGAGCACAGAGTATTCAGCACATAGGAAGTGAAAACAAACAAGCAGATCTAAGCTGTGGTTTGCCAGAACAGTTGAGGAAACCGTGGTTTGACCCCACACTATTAGAATGGAAGATGGTTTGGCATTGCATTTAAATTGAACCAATGGCTGCTAATTATAAATTGCCCGTTCTGCCTGACAAACCTGCTGGCTTTCTGTGCTAGTCCGAAGAATTAGAGTTCCGCTTGTTCCTGCCAGTGGTAGGACACAGAAGGAAAACAGGTTATCTGTGTAGTAGAATTGTGATAGGACGGCTTTGTTTGGTTTAATAAGAATTTTCTCTTTGTAATAGAGAATGGGAAGTTCAGCCGGTCTGCACAGAGTTGTAAATCTTCACATGAACCTCCTTGAGATTTATCTAAGTCTGGACAGAGTTGTAAATATTCACATGAACCTTCTTGAGGAACTCTGAATAAGTTTTTTGAAGGCGGATGGGGGAGCGCTGCTGTTTTGAGACAGCTGTCCCTTCCTTGCTGCATTATATCTTTCTCATGTCTGCTGAAAATGTCCCAAGTTCCATGGTAGAGAGCAAACTGTTGTAGAAGACAACAAAAGTCTTTTCTCTGCTTTTCACCAAAGAAATTTGTTGGCTTCTGAAGCCCAGTGTTGGTTAAATTCCTTGGGGGAAATGTGATGTTTTTGTGCACGAAAACTGGCCTTGTAGGACAATTCTTAAACAACTTATACCTCTGCAAGTGCACCAACGGCATGAGGGTGACTTTGACTCAGTAAATCAAAAAAAAGCAACAACACCAAAACACCTGTCTAGTTTGACTTAGCGAAAAGGGTCATGGTTCTCTGAGGAATGAAATATAATCCCATGCTAAACTGGTACGCAGCATTTTGGAAAACAGCACAAGGGTTTGCATCGCAGCTCTGAAACTTAGTAGATGTAGATATTATCATGAAACAAGCTGAGGCTTACGGATCAAAATTAGTATTTTATGTGTCAGCTAATGAGCACTAGTCATACACACCCAAGCAAGTTGTATGATGAGTCAAGCGTCATAGAATATAAAGAAATTAAATATTAGCAACAGGGAAAATGGAAAATTACCTCTCACTCACCCCTCAATTAAATTAAATATTTCTGGCCAAACGGAGTAACCTTTTACAAAGGTGGCATGTAATAGTGTTCCTCTGACTTGTCTCAGATTTCCCAGGAATCTTGGGCAGAGATGACAACACAAATTGAAGAATGTTCTTTTTTTCTTTCTTTCCAGCTGTCATAAGCCCAGCCAAGTAGCATAATCTGACTTAGTGTTTTTTTTAATAATAGTAAGTCATCTGTTGTTGTATGACAACTGGAAATACCTGTAGTTTGCTTTCATTCTCCATTTTTGTTTTTGTTTTTTGGGGGGGTTTTGTATTTTCACATTTGTGTGCTGCTTCTGATATGAAGTGGTCTTGTATCTGTTGAGAGCGCTCTGAAGGTTTTTATTGGCTTTAAAATAAAACATAAAATTGTCATTGCACTAATGTTGTGCTCTCCCCCCCCCCCCCCGAAGATTGTCCCCAAATAATTTGCTTTTAAGTGCAAAAAACATTTGAGTGGCTGGCTAAGATTGCCGCTTTCCTTTCCTGAGATCAGATTTCATCTGACACTACAGAAGACATTTCTTTTAACTCTGTTCTAGTGTCACCTCTTCTCTTACCCATGTTTGCCATTAGCATCATTTTGCTGATATTCATTTGTGCCTAGTGCTTACTCTGATTAGCATCAGGGAATATACTTTATGTATATAAATTCATTTGTCTTAGGATGCCCACAGTGTTGGCCCTTATTTCTTACTGAGGACATGTCTTTTATTTACTTGTTTCACACTTCGCCTACTTTGCACAAATAAGCATCTGTTTGGAATGGAACAAACATTCAGGATGCTCTGCAATATGCTGTTTTGTTTCTAAGCAACTTGCAGTATCTCACTTTTTTTTAGAGCATGGCTACAGACATTTTTGTATGGTGGTCCCGCATTTTGTAGTGGCATTCAAGGTAACCATCGTGCTTTTTGTGCATAAGGCCTAAATGTAGTACCTTCCTCTCTTTGGTTGCTAGGATTTAATTGAATTCCTTCCAGAAAGGTTGGATTTATTGCTAACTGGCTTTGTAAATAGTACTTCTTGTGATCTGTAGATTCCCTCTTTTGTAGTAAAAGGAGGTGATACGAAAAACTCACCCACAAAAATGGTGAAGGAGTATTTAGTATTCTCAAAAACTGAAATCTTGACTGTTGTTGTTGCTCTGCTGAAGTAATTCAAGCATGTCTCCTTCCAGCATTTGGGCACAAATCGATAAATCGATTAGTGGAATCCTTACAGAAATAGCGAGTTCCAAATGTGGATTAAGTTTTGACCTGCATCTGATCAAGAAGTTTACCTTTTGTTCAACTGCTTTCATAGTGCCTTGACCACAAACACACATCTGCCCATACAAACAGTATCGATCAATATTATTTTCTGTAGGAACACTGAGGAGCTTGAAAGAATTATGTAGATATAATGATATCTGATTTTAATTGTTCAGACAGATGCTCTGGTTCATAGATCATAAGTACCCCTTCTGATTTTACATTGTTATGCTTGGGGAAAAATAAGTACATTTCACTAAAATTTCTGTTTCATGCAATTTATGGTGCTATCTGCTACTTTTTAAAGTTTAAAATGAAAACTGTTTATTGTTTACTTAGGTAATGATTTGGGTCCCCCAGCAACTAAGGCTGCAAACAAGTTTGAAGGGATGTCTCAACAGTCAGGGTAAGATTTTATATTATCTTTGAGATTCTCTATAGATATGCAAGATTATTAATCTGTATGTGGCTAAACTTTCATGGATCTGTAAAAATACATATTTGGAATAGAACTCATTTTTGGTTCTTAATCGGCTGTGTCATTTCACTAGTTTGTACAGGCTTTTGCTGGATGCATGTTTCAGGTAGCAGGTAATGTAAGGCTCTCCCAGGCCATGTCTTCACAGCCCCGCGTTCCCCCCATTTGAATATCTCCTTTAACGGGGGGGGGGGGGAGCTTTTCATAGCAAAGGAGTCTTGGCAGGGCAAACGTAGCACTCTGGCTTCACTTTGCCCATCCTCATTATGTCACCTTGCAGATGATTAAATGTGTCATTACTGTTTCCCAAACCATGATTAAATGTAGGGAAGTGAATGGCAGGGGAAAAGTTTCTATGTTTGCTACTTAAACGCATGCAAGATTTTTTTTTTTCCAGATTTGGGTATATTAGACCAAAAAAATCAGTATTTCCCAATATTCCCGAATTCTAATACCTGTATGGTATTCGGATTGGGTAATATTCGGGCATCTTGAATTTTTGAGGTACCATCAAAGTCAATGGCAATGGCAAATCTATCCTAGAATCATAGAGTTGGAAGGACCTCCAGGGTCATCTAGTCCAACCCCTTGCACAATGCAGGAGATTCACAAATACCTTCCCCTCCATACCCCCAGTGACCGGTGTTTCACTGTTCCATGCCCAGAAGATAACAAAAAAATCTCCAGGCTCTCCAGTCAAACTGGCCTGGAGAAAAAGTGGCAATCAGCATTTCCCTGAGCATGTAAGGAAGGGCCACAAGCACAAGAACTAAGCACTGAGGCAACCCTTCCTGCCCTCCCTCTCATGATCTGCCTAAGTTCACAGAATCAGCATTGCTGTCAGATGGCCATCTAGCTTCTGTTTGAAAACCTCCAAAGAAGTTGAGCCCACCACCACTTGAGGAAGCCTGTTCCACTGAGGAACTGCTCTAACTTTCTTTCTAATGTATAGCCGAAAACTCTTCTAATTTAATTTCAACCCATTGGTTCTGGTCTGACCTCCTGGGGGTTGAGGTAGAGGCACCAAATCTGCAGCATAGCTGCTGGAGCCTCTCCTCAAGAGAACCCCCAAGTTTTAAAAAGATTGGACCAGGGGATTCAATTCTGTGGACACCCAGAGAAAACGCCCCTATCCTCCATTGTTTTCAATGGGGGGTGGGGTAGCAAGGCAATACAAGCCCAGCAGAATGTCCCAGAGAATCTCTGCAGTAGAAAGTGAATTGGGGGAGGGCATTTTTGCAAGGCCAGCAGCAAAACTATTGCAGTGTGCCCAGCAGAACCAGTGCCACTGTGGCAGTGCTAAAACCCAACATGATTAGTGTCAGATCTGAGAATCTCTGAAATAGAAACTGAGAGGGGGGCATTTCTGCAAGGACAGCAGAACCAGTGCATTGTACTAGTGCCCAGCAGCAGAACCCAGCACCAACCCAACAGGACTGATGTCAAGCACAGATTCACAATGTAAACTAAAACCTAAGAATAAGACCAAAGGGAACAACAACAACAAGTCCTGAGGCTCTTGGCCTCACCCCTCATGCATACAACCACCAGGCCCAAACAACTCGGAACAAAAAAACCCGACTTCAAGCCACAAAACCAGAAGTAACTAAAACCGAAGAATAAAACCAAAGGGAACAAAAAAAACTCCTGAGGCCCTTGGCCTCACCCCCTCCCCTACCTACCACCCACCAAGTCCAAAGAACAACTAACGGTAAAATAATTTTTTTTTAAAAAAACGTGTTGTTCAGTCATAAGAACATAAGAACATAAGAGATGCCAATGTTGGATCAGGCCAAAGGCCCATCTAGTCCAACTCTCTGTCACACAGTGGCCAAAAATACCAGGGGCCATCAGGAGGTCCCCCAGTGGGGCCAGGACATTAGAAGCCCTCCCACTGTTGACCCCCCCCAAGCACCAAGAAGACAGAGCATCACTTGCCCCAGAGTCCCTATCTACACCTTGTGGCTAATAGCCACTGATGGACCTCTGCTCCATATGCTTATCTAATTCCCTTTTGAAGCCGTCCATGCTTGTAGCTGCCACCACTTCCTGTGGCAGTGAATTCCAAGTGTTAATCACTCTTTGGGTGAAGAAGTACTTCCTTTTATCCGTTCTAACCCGACCGCTCAGCAATTTCATGGAGTGCCCACGAGATCTTGTATTGTGAGAAAGGGAGAAAAGTACCTCTTTCTCTACCTGCTCTTTCCCATGCATAATCTTGTAAACCTCAACCATGTCACTCCTCAGTCGTCTTTTCTCCAAGTCGGACCAGTTGCTGTCTTCACTCTTCTCCAGGCAGGCAGAACCTAATCCGAAGTCCACAGCAGAGTCTCCCAGGCAGCAGGAGTCAGGGTCAGAGCAGCAGCTGGAGCCAAAGCCAACGCACACTCTCCAAACCTCTCTCAGCAGTGGAGTCAAGCTCAGCCAGACCCTTGCTTTTATACTCTTTGCCCATGCACATAAGAATTTCAAAAAAAGAACAGACTTCTGTGATTAGCTAAAGAGCAGTGTTCCCCCAACCTGAAATCTTATTTGCCAAATTGGCACTACTCCTTCCCCCCTCCCCCCTGTTCCCTGGGAAATGGGTGGGGAAGACAAGGTAGTTATTTAGTTGGACTTCACATTTTAAGCCAACAACCTTGCAAGTTGCAAACCTGCAATGCAATACCATTTGCAAAATCATTGCAATGATTGGCTCTGAGGCACTACAGCCTCCCCCTAAGGTGCTTTTGCCATTGGGCTGCAGAGATGCCTCTGCCCCCTGCCTCCTGTTGCACTAGAAACCAGAGCAAAAGGCAGGAAAGAGCCCTAGAGGAGAACTGAACTTTGCAGGCCTTTAAATCTCTCCACCAGCAGCTGTTTGGTATAGCCAAATATATCCGAAAAAAGCCAAACAAATTCAGCTTTGTTCAGTATCAGCTATACTGGAAGCTAGTCAGATTCTCTGATCTGTATTCGGCTTAAAAATACCATCAAAATACTGGTAAGGATTTGCTACAGTTTTGCTAGAGTTACTGCAGAAAGACAGGCAACCAGTCAGTTAGAAGTTTTTGTAGAGCCAGAACAAGGTTTATAGAATTGAAACAAGCCGCTGTTTTTTTTGTTTTATATATCCACAGACAGATACGATAGTCAAGTGTGGGCCAACCTGCCAATATGGGTTGTGGCCAGACTGACTATAAACAGATGTTTCTACAAACTTGGGGAATCCCAGGTTTGCAGAAAAATCTGGGAACTTAAAAGCATACACTTGGAGGTCAACTCCTCCCCCCCCCCTTATCGTTGCTCTGCAGAGCTGGAGTCGGCAGACTCCAGGAGCCTTTCTGGGCTTGGGTGCAGTGGCAATGGACTCTGGAAGCTGCTGCGGCCGGGCTCAAAAGTGGGTGGTGAGGCCTGGAGTGGTGCTGGGCTCAGTGATGGAGGGAAGATGAGATTCAACTCCCCAGGATTCTTGCAGAGTGTGTGTGCGCACGCGTGCGCGCGCTGTTTTTATTGTTCTCCCTACTGTAGCTCCTGCTGTTGAAGAAAAGAGTTTGGGTTGGGTCTTGCCAACTTTTATTCTCCCCAGGATTCTTGCAGAGTGTGTGCGTGCGCGCGCGCGCTGTTTTTATTGTTCTCCCTACGGTAGCTCCTGCTGTTGAAGAAAATAGTTTGGGTTGGGTCTTGCCAACTTTTATTTATTTATTTATTTGTTCGATTTTTATCCCGCCCTCCCAGTCGAGGCAGGCTCAGGGTGGCTTACAGTAAAAGATTAAAAATATATTAAAACATAAGTGCTGCTTAATACAGTACAACACCATAAAATACAAAAAACGTAAATGAATCACAGTACAGTAAAATAAAGTGCTGGTGTCAATACGTCCCCGTGGCCATAATAAAATGGTCCGAAACATGCCCCTCCCCGGTCAGTTGTCCAGCTCAGCAGCAGTAGGTGTTAACATAGGGCCTTGATGTTCCAGTTGGTATTGTTGGTGTTGCTAGTGTTGTCAGTATTGTCAGTTGGTTTATGTTGGTTTAAATGGGAGGAGAGACACCTGATTGCTTTCATCACTGTCCTGTGTGGCTTTTTGCCAACACTGGCCCTGTAATCCCCAGAATAGCCTTTGGGGGGGAATAAAAAGGGCTCTTCCTCTCTTTTGTGCTTGCAGAAAAGATGGTAAGATCTTTAAACTGTCCAGTAGCTTGTCTTTCAGTGTTGAAAATCTCAAATGAAGCCGCTTGCACCCATTCAGGAGGTGCAGTGGGGAAAGGAAGGGTTAGAAAATGCTGTAGCTTGGATGAAAGTTCCCCAACTGTGTATTCACAAATTTAGCTAGCAGCTTTTTCACTGCATAGCCATCTTTACTTGTAAATTTCAGCTGTTCTGCAAATATTGGCAGATTATGATGACACATTGTCCTTCAATGTTTCTTGTATTATAGTCATATCTAGAGATGCAGTTATCTCAGAGTAATTATCCGTACTGGCAAACCATGTATGTGATTTTTTATTCTTACAAAGCCAGCTGTGCTGACTTTCATAAAATGGCCTAGGATTCTCTCCAGACCCATAAAGGACAATAAAGTGGTTTTAAGCCTATTTAGTTTCTTGCTCGATCAGATGCCATATTCTGAAAGTAACAATCCTAGCGTGTATCTGTCTGTATGAGTCTATAATTCGCAAAAATCTTTCCACAGGGCTATCTCTTTATTTATCCCAAGTGGGAACCCAAAACAGCTTATCATTCTCCACCCTGTCCTTATAAAAACAACCTTGTCAGGTAATTCAGGCTGGGAAAATTTGAAAGGCTTAAGATAATTTATCAAGCTTCCACGGCAGAGTGGGGATTCAAACCCAGTTACGCCAGGTCCTAGTCTGACCCTCTAACTGCCATGCCAGCTCTCATGGTAGGTGTTGAAGTTCCTGATAAAGCCTGTATGTATTTGTAGCTGTTGATCCTGCCTGATAGGCTTGTGTGCAGTCCTCGGAATCCAAAGAACCAGGGCTTTTTTTGTAGAAAAAGCCCAGCAGGAACTCATTAGCATAATAGGCCATACCCAACAGCAGGAACTCATTAGCATATCAGGCCACACCCTGACAGCACAGCTCATTCACATATTAGGCCACACCCCCATGTTACCAGAAGCGTGGTCATCCTGCCACACCCACCTTTTCCTTCTTATTCTCTTTATTTTGTTTGTTCTCAAAACCCAGGGCTTTTTGCATGTTAGGCCACACACCCCTAATTGTAGCCAATCCTAGTGAGTTTCTGCTGTTGGGTGTGGCCTATTATGCTAATGAGTTCCTGCTGGGCATGGCCAACTTGGGAGCCAGCCGGAACTCCGTTCCTGTGCGTTCCTGCCCAAAAATAGCCCTGCAAGAACTAACTTGCTCCAGTGGAGATAGATCAAGATGAGTAGCCATGTTAGTCTGTCTGTCGTAGTAGAAAAGAGCAAGAGTCCAGTAGCACCTTAAAGACTAACAAAATCTGTGGCAGGGGATGAGCTTTCGTGAGTCTCTGCTTACTGTTCTGCAGAAGTGAACAGCGACTCACAGAAGCTCATCCCGTGCCACGGATTTTGTTAATCTTTAAGGTGCAACTTAGACTCTTGCTCTTTTCTATTGCTCCAGTGCCACGTTTTCCATTCTGAGTTCTTATGGTCTCTTATATGGACAGCTCAAGACAACCTCTTCTAGAGTTCTTGTACTAACTCCTTTTCTAAACATACATAGTTAACTACGTCTAATGGGTAGCTGTAATACTGTGGGAAGGTTTATTAATCTTTTTTCTTAAGTTTGAATACATCAAGCTCACTCTCAGCCTGACTGTGAGATATCTGATCTGTCCTGTGGGAAATGTTTGCACTGGTGAACTTCCTGACTGGTACTCTAAATATATGAAACATCTGGGTATTTCAATATCAGGATTAAGTTGTAATCTTGTACCTCTCTGTTCATCAGCACCAGTACTGCTAAGACTGCACTGGGCCCAAGAGTTCTTCCCAAACTACCTCAAAAAGGTAAGCACTGTTCAAAATGTGTATCTGTTGTATATGCTTTAGAATTTTATCTGGAAGAAGGGGAAGAGGTAAATAAAAATCCATGCAAGAAAGTGATAACTTGCTGTAATGGACTTGCCTGATGTGGGGTAAAGCCTGTTTGTTTGCTGGTTGGTTGGTTGGTTTGTTTAACATTGCAACCTTAGAGGAAGACAAAACAAGCCCTGTAGCGCTGCCTTATATTTATATGAAGGTTGCATGCATGCTTCCTGAGCTAGCTGAAAGAATGAGATAGCCATGGAAGTAATCACTGTAGGGCTACCCTATGTTTCCATGAATTGGCACATAGGCCAGGAGACACGATGAGGGTGCCACATGTATGCATCCATTGTAATATTGTTTTGTCACAAAACTGCTTGGTTGTACGTGGGTCTTCATTTCTGCTTCTGATACTTGGGCATTGATGGGTATCTGAGATAATCCCGCAGTGGTGGGTAACTAGCAGCAACAGAACGAGCGGGAGCAATAGGTATGAAGTAGGGTTTTGTGTTTTTTTAATGCTGATACTGAAATTTGCTTTCTGTTTCAGTGGCACTAAGAAAAATAGAAACCATTCATCTTCCTTCAATCGATAAGTCCTCTCATTTGGAAATCTTCCAGAAGTCAGCATCGCTTTCTATTGATCTACCACAGAGACCCCAACCAGGAGACTTGCCCCCAAAGCCGCAGCCTGTGGAGCTCCCCCAGAAACCTCAGATTGGAGACTTACCCCCCAAACCAGGAGAACTGCCTCCGAAACCTCAGCTAGGCGATCTGCCGCCAAAACCACAGTTAGCAGATTTACCCCCCAAGCCACAAGTGAAGGACCTTCCTCCAAAACCTCAGCTGGGAGATACTTTGGCTAAGATTCAAGGTGGAGAAGTATCACCAAAGCCTCAGCCCTTGGAGGTAAATCAAAAATCTCATTCTGTGGATCTTTCTCCAAAGGTACAGTCTAGAGAGACCATCCAAAAGCAAGCATCAGAAGACTCCAATGATGTAACACATGCATTGCCAGAGACCCCAGTGCCACTCCCTAGAAAGATAAACACGGTATGTAGAATTTTTATTCTTGTATTGCAGAAGGGCTTTGCTGCTGCTGTCAACGTTTGTCTAGGACTTGCGCAATCCTATATGGTGGATCTCTGGAAAATGTACATTTTAATTACCCGGCACACACACACCCCATCACAATTAGTACAGAATACAAAGCCAAAAGTTATCCAGCACAGCAAAATATTAATTTCTTTATCTTTTAAAATTATTAATCACATTATATGACCTGGATAGCCCAGGCTAGCCTGATCTTGTCAGATCTTGAAAGGGTCGGCCCTGGCTAGTATTTGGACGGGAGACCTCCAAGGAAGTCTAGGATAGCTACACAGAGGCAGGCAATGGCAAACCACCTCTGACTATCTCTTGCCTGGAAAACCCTAAGAGGGCACCATAAATCAGCTGTGACTTGATGACAAAAACAACAAATGTCATAATTCACCAAACTGATTAAAGCAGTAACCGCCTTAGGAGTAATGATGCTCAGGGAAGCTGAAAGAGATGCCGTCAGCCTTTGTTTTGTGGTTGTTTTTGCCGTCAAGTCGCAGCTGACCCATGGCAACCCCATAAGGGTTTTCAAGGCAAGAGACATTCAAGAAGAAAAGAAGAAGAGATTGGATTTATACCCCGCCCTTCACTACCCAAAGGTGTCTCAGAGCGGCTTACAAATTCCTTTCCCTTCCCTTCCCCTCCCCACAACCTGAACAGAAACTGCTCTTTTTCAAGGACAGCTCTTATCAGAACTATGGCTTGCCCAAGGTCATCCAGCCAGGTGCAAGCGGAGGAGTGGGGAATCAAACCCGGTTCTCCCAGATTAGAGTCCGCGCACTTAACCACAACACCAAACTGGCTCTCAGAGGTGGTTTGCCATTGCTTTCCTCTGCACCATGAAGCTGGTAATCCTTGGAGGTCTCCCATCCGAATACCAGCCAGGGCCAACCCTGCTTAGTTTCCAGGATCTGATGTTTTTGGGCTTAGCCTGGGCTTTCCAGGTCGGTGCACAATCAGCCTAGCAGCAACGAAAATTCAATGAAACAGTGATCTGTAAGCACCAAACAAATGATAGTTGGATGGCTTAGCAACACGTGAGCCTAGCAGATCTGCATACCAAAACCAAACTCCCGTAAGTCATATACTTAATGGCTTGTTTCATGCAAGCCAACCTATTAAAAAAATGCAACGGCACAAAAGGCGGGGGGAAACAACTCCCCACTTACAATGAAAAATGTATAAACATTATATTTAGAAAGCTTATACAGTTACATAGAAGAAATACATACATCAGAATCCGAAATAATCCAACGACAGCTCAAAAGAAAACATGAATGAGAAAATTATGAAAGAACTGAACGACGACATTGAAAGTCAGCCGCAAATCATAAAGTTGGAAGCCTAATGAATAACATATATTGGGGGTGCTAGTAGGACATTTCGAGCAACGTTATTCAGATAAATGTTTTTCAAATATATATTAATTATACATGTTGTTCATTAGGCTTGGTTTAATTGAACTATGATTAGTGTGATCATCCAAAAGCAGACCCTCCACTAATTTTGGTTATCTGGGCTTCAGGAAACCAGGAGTTGAAACCATGGTTTGAATCTGGTATTTTTAGCCATGATTACTTAACCATGGTTTTCCATGATGTGCAGGCATAATACATTTTGGCTTCTTCCCTGGCACCACACTACAGGCCGGGATGCCAATGAGCTCTCTGTGGGGGGAGGAACATAGATTTTTATCCTAAGTTCCATGGAATGGGGGAGGGGAGAGATCCTCACAGCAACACTGTGAGGCTAAAAGAAAGTGACTGGCCCAAGCCTTTTGAACTTATGCGTTTCCAGTCACAGTCTAACCACTGCACCACCATGGTGGCTTTGAGGAACAGTCGTTCCCATATGGCAGCAGGCTTCTTTAGTTTCCCTGTGGCTGGTAATACAGTGCAGTGGCAACGGGTTCCTCGCAGCAGGTTTCCCCAGTACAGGTAGGGTTTTTCCTCCCAGTGATTTAATAGCATTGTATCAATATACTGCTGTATCAATATACCACTATACTAAAATATGCATTTGGTTCTCTGAATTCCCAGCCTGCCTGCCTGCCTGCCTGCCTGCCTTTTTTCCTTCTCTCCCCCCTCCCTCCCCCCATCTCTTTCTTTCTTTCTTTCTTTCTTTCTTTCTTTCTTTCTTTCTTTCTTTCTCTCTCTCTCTTTCTTTCTTTCTTTCTTTCTTTCTTTCTTTCTTTCTTTCTTTCTTTCTTTCTTTCTTTCTTTCTTTCTTTCTTTCTTTCTTTCTCTTTCCACAAGGTATAGATAGGGACTCTGGGGCGAGTGATGTTCTGTCTTCTTGATGCTTGGGGGGGGGGAGGTCAACAGTGGGAGGGCTTCTAATGTCCTGGCCCCACTGGTGGACCTCCTGATGGCACCTGGTATTTTTGGCCACTGTGTGGCAGAGTCTTGGACTGGATGGGCCTTTGGCCTGATCCAACATTGGCTTCTCTTATGTTATGTTCTTCTTATGCAGAATATACAAGTTCTGAATCTAAGTAAATAATTTCTACTGCAGTTCAGCGGGAAAAAAAAACATTTATGTGGTACTCGAAGCCCATGCCACAGGGTTAGGTTACAGATACTCTTAACTAGCGGATCTGATGTGCTACATGCACAAGATGATGCTAAGTAATTGGGGCGGGGGGATAGAGAGAAGCTGTGTGTGTGAGTGAGAGAGAGAGAGAGACTTTGTCCAAGTTCTTATATGAACTCTCAGGTTGTGCACTTGGCATTGCCCCCAAAATCCCTGTGCTGCTTCTCAGAGTGGCAGTTTTTAAAGTGTTTTAGGAAACATGTAAAATTATTTTCAGACATCTGAATGTTCTAAGCTGTAGAAAGAATTAGAATATTTATTTTGTTAACTAAGGCTAAAAGAAGTGTTTCCCTAGGAAAAGAAATGGATTGTTTTAAAAGGTTTTTAAGGGGAGGATATTCTTAAACAAGGGCACAAACATGCTGATTTGTCAGTGGTTTGCTAGTATCAAACCGTACATATATAACAAACATTTCCTCATCCTTAAAAAAAAACCTTTCTGAACTAAAATATTTTTTTTTAAGGGGAAGAACAAAGTTAGGAGAGTGAAGACAATCTATGATTGCCAAGCAGACAATGATGACGAGCTTACATTTGTTGAAGGAGAAATTATCATTGTAACTGGTGAAGAGGACCAAGAGTGGTGGGTATGTATCGTTCTGCATTTTGCTTTTTAAAAAGTAAGATGGATCTTCTGTAAAAGAAGAATCACCCAGCAGTCGCTGAGGTGATGTATTTGTGTTACTTCACAGGGAAGCAGTGCTGCCTTGGAATGTTCCCCAATTGCTAACTGTTTGTCACGTTTTGCTTGAGCACTGCTAGATCAAGATGGGTAGCCATGTTTGTCTGTCTGTAGCAGTAGATAAGAGCAAGAGTCCAGTAGCACCTTAAAGACTAACAAAATATGTGGCAGGGTGTGAGCTTCCATGAGTCACTACTCGCTTCTTCAGATGACTCACAGAAGCTCATACCGTGCCACAAAGGTTGTTAGTCTCTAAGGTGCTACTGGACTCTTGCTCTTTAGAACTGCTAGTCAGGTTCTGCTGTTCAAAGTTCACCTCCGTTAAAATCAGTGTGCATTTTATTTACATTATTTATAGTTTGCCTTTCTGACTTGGATTCTAGTAGGGTTACACAGAGTGAGTCATTGCAGTCAACCAGATGGGGCATTCAAGAAACAACGAAATAGGGGTTTGGGTTGTAGAACCAACCAGACGTCTATCATTAGCTTCAGTGGGAGAATGACTGTATCCAGGACTTTTTTTGTAGAAAAAGCCCAGCAGGAACTCATTAGCATAATAGGCCACACCCAATAGCAGAAACTCATTAGCCTATTGGGCCTCAGCCCTGACAGCACCACTCATTAGCATATTAGGCCGCACCCCCATGTTACCAGAAGTGTGGTCATCCAGCCACATCCACCTTTTGCTTCTTATTCTGTTTACCTTGTTTGTTGTCAAAACCCAGAGCTTTTTTTGTAGCAGGAACGTCTTTGCATTTTAGGCCACACACCCCTAATGTAGCCAATCCTAATGAGTTTCTGCTGTTGGGTGTAGCCTGTTATGCTAATGAGTTCCTGCTGGGCGTGGCCAACTCAGGAGCCAGACGGAATTCCGTTCCTGTGCGTTCCTGCCCAAAAATAGCCCTGACTGTATCCAATCAGCTGCTCTGTAAGGCAAAATCGGGATAGGGTCAGGAATAAGTTTCCTCATTCTAGTAGTACAGGAGTATGAACCACACTGATACCCGAATGCAGCAGAATGCCCCAAAATTGCACCAGAGCAGGAACTGAGGACACGACCACACCACAGCTTTCTGCATCAAAAGAGAGTGGAAAGAAAGGAGCGAGGTCCTGTGAGCACAACTAGGAACCCCCTCATAAGGTGTGATGATTAAAAAAATGGATATTTAGGACAAAATCCAAAGGGCCATGCAAACAGCGTCATGCATTTAATGAAATTTTGGACGATATTTTTAGGACAAAGCCCTTCATGACCTGGGGCCCGCTTATTTGAAGGCCCACATATCCCTACATGTTCCTGTAGCATGGCAGTTTTGTTTTTCCCAGCAAAGTTTACTGTCAGTAATTCCTTCCTCCTTGTCTGAGCTGTGTTTGGCAATAACCTGTGCCCGGGTTTTCTCAGTGGCGGCCCTATTCCTCTGGAACAGCCTCCCAGAGATGGGTCCTACCCGCCTGGCTTTCCAGCGGGACAGCGGAATTGAGTTTTCCCCAGAGAGCTTTTTGGAGAGCCAGGTAAAGGGAGAATAGCCTGCTTGGTGGGTAGCCGGAAACCGGTTTTTAATGTTTATTTAGGCCAGGCTGGCCTGATCTCATCAGAACTTGGAAGGTAAGCAGAGTCAGCCCTGGTTAGTGTTTGGATGGGAGACCGCCAAGGAATACCAGGTTCATGTCCTGGAGGCCACCTCTGAAACATCTCTTGCCTTGAAAACCTTATGGGGGGGTCACCATGAGTCAACTACGACTTGGTGGTAGAAACGAAACAAAAACAAGTGTGTCGATGTCTGCTTTTGCAGTAGTTTTATCACGTTATTATCCACTTTGGGTCCTGAGATGCTCAGGAGATAGGAAGACAATTCCCCCCCCCTTTAAAAATGAACAAACAGTAGCACCACCTTCACACCACCCGCCCTCCTTCCCCTCTGCTCTCGGCCCTTCATCTTGTTTCTTTGAAGGCTGTTGGGCGGCGGTCAGAAGTGCCACTGGATTCAGACTTAATGACACCACGTGGCAAAGTGTTTTTGAAACTCTGGAAGCCTCAGCAGCAGTTCATTGTACGCCTTTAACATCTGGCATTCAAAGAGAGAAAAGCAAAGAGAGAAGACCTCCCACTATGCCTGCACATGCACTTACATTCCATACACTGTAATAGGAATACAGAGCGCCGAGGACCATAGGTGATATGGACTGCTGGGTGATAGTTAAAAAAAAAGGGGATTCCAGTTGACCAGTGTATTTGCAGTGGCTGTGACTACAGATATCTGCAAGGCAAAGATGAAGAGCAGAAAGGAAGAAGCATTGTTTTAACCATCCATCTATTGTATGAATGTTGTTTTTATTGATGTACACCGCCCTGAGCCCTGTTCTCTGGGGGAGGGCGGTCTAGAAACCGATGATGATGATGATATCTGTACAGTTAATTGATCCCCAACGGGGAGGAGTGGGGGCCAGAAGGCTTCTGAAACTTCTGTTATTTAAAACTATCCTAGGCCCCGGTCACACGGGCCGGATATCGCGGGGGGGGGCGTGGCTGTTTGCCCCGGAGCGAACTACCGTGCGGCCGCCGGATCATACGTCCCGCCGACGTCCCGTGGTTCAGGGGGAGGTGCCAATCATACGACAATCCTGTGGCACAGCAAAGAAGCGGCGCGATCACAGCAGCAATGGCTAGGCGCCGCTGCCGTGGCGAACGAGGTTGTGGGGTTTTTTAAACCAAAGTGTGCACATGCGCCATTGGGTGCTTGTGCGCATCCCATGGAGACTTGGGGAAAAAACACCTTTTCGCCACGGGACATGGGCGGGCACCGAATGCCACGACCTACCACCGGAAATGCAATCAGACGCCCGCCCTTGCCCCGCGGTTTCCAGAAACTAGTACCTCGGAGGTGCTAGTTTTGTACGGCGCATCTTCAGCGGGAAGACTTGGGTTAGCCACGGGAGCTCTACGCTTCCCAGATGTTGCGGTGTGATCGCGCCCGGAAAATCCGCCTATCTTCCGTCTCTGTAGCGTGGCTAATGCTCCGTGTGACCGCAGCCCTGGGTAGTTTCAAACTAGCTTAATCACAGAGCTGTCCTGAGCTGGGGTCAGGGTGGAGCAGATACTTGTCTCTTGACAATAGTCCTCTGTGCTTTTTGAAGGCAAGAGAACAGACCTGGAGGTTATCTACCTTTTAATAAAGTCAGGTCCGTGACTGAACCTAAGGTGGGTACTTAAATGATTCCTGTTGTCAGCCTAGCTAATACATAGAAGATGTGTATTGTGCAAATACCTGAAAGCGTCTTGTGGGTAACAAGTGCAAGAATACGTGCTTCAGAACACTGCGGTGTCACCGGCCCCTCCAAAACAACATCATATTTTCTTTGTTGCAGATCGGCCACATTGAAGGACAGCCAGAGAGAAAAGGGGTCTTCCCGGTATCCTTTGTCCACATTTTGTCTGATTAAGTTGAATTGGAAACTGGAGCGTTGCACCTCCTTCCTGTAAGACGGACTTTTTAGCATGAAGCAAACAGCTGCTGCCTCCCTGTAATTCCGTGCACAATTGTGGATATATCTGTATATATATATAATGGCTGTTACAGAACGAGAACTCGTTTGTGGCCCGCCCTGTGAGGTGACTTACCCTCGTCTTGTAAATAGACGGTGTTCCTCTGCCTTTGCCAGTATTACGGTAGCCTTGGAACCTGGCCCACCTTCTCGGGCTTGCTAAAGCCATCCTCGGCATCAAGCACTTACATCTCTTTGTCTGTTCGTATGGATGGACCTACCAGCTCTTTAAAATATGGTCGGTCTCATTCCGTTCTGTTTAGCTGTACAGAAATCGCCATTCCAAGTAAACCAGTATTCTTTTAGAAACAGACCCATAGCGGAGAATTTAGATTCAGTTTTCAGAATGAACTGCTTTGGCTCATTTCCAGCCCAGTTTACAGCTACCAATGTACCCAATCTACAGCTTGTGAAATCCACTTCCTCAGTATTTGTTGAAAGTGTTCAATGTATGCATCAAGCAAAAGAAATATTCACTGACGCTACAGATGAAACAGTAGTAATTTACAGAGTGTGTGTGAACAGCATTTTCATGTTTGTATTATATAGTTGCAGTATCTCCCTTATGATATTTACCTCACTTAACACCATCTGTAAGTGTTTAATTAAAACAAAAGAACTTGTATCTAATGAAGGAGAGCATCAGGGACTTTTGGCTGGAGATTTCCTTTCACTGAACCAGGGACATGCAAGAAAAATAGTCTGTTTATGAATTCAGATCTTTCCTTGCAATCTGCATTCATGCAGGAATGTTATATTAGCCCTTAACATTGAGCAATACGACTTTGGGATACTTTGGTTGATCGAAAGATGAGCTGATGCATTTGTTTCTAACTAATTGGCTTCCCTACCCAATAATTTGGCTGTAGGGATTTAAGAAGGTTCCCCCCCCCCCTTCCCCAATAATCTTTTACTCATTGGAGGATATTAATTTGTGATGTTCACTTAGTCTAATAGTCTGGGGAAACAGAAACAGTTAAATGGTTTTGGAAATGAAAGTGAAATATAACCTTTCCTGCAAATTGGCAGCTGTTAATTAGAGAAACCAGAGAGCAATATGTCATTGGGGAGTTACAGTTTACTAAATCCTAATTATGTTTCAGGGTTGAGCTCTGAGGATCCGCCAACAATCATGGAACCACAAAGTTGGTTCGTTTTGACCTGTGGTGGCTTGATAGTTATAAAATTTTATTACTTGCAGCTTCTGCCCTTTCTTTATCCTAATCAAGACTCTTAATATATTAAGGATGTATTCGTTTCCAGTAGGCTATCACTTATTTATTGTTGTTCAGTCTGATGTTTGATCATAACCCAAGCTGAATGCTGTCTTTTGGTTTATGATCAACAGGAGCGGCTTGTTGTGCGACTCCCATGTGTCCTGCTGGGTTCACCTAGCAATATAACATTGCTTGAAGGCAATATTACTTTGGCAACAGTCCATCTTCCCCCCCCCTTTTATACTTTGAAACTGATTCTGTCTGTGATTCCGCGTCAAAGTGTTTCCCGTCACTAAAGCACAAGTTCAGATTAATCTTTCCAAGGCTTTTCGCTTTTGACATCTTACAAACCTGTACTCAGTGAATATTTATTTTTATTTAAATGGTTAACATGCAAAAAATAAATAATCAATTTAAAGAAGTCGTGCATGAAGAATAGCAAAAAAATATTTATCAGACATTATTGGAAATCGGTGTTTTTTTAAACAAACAAACAAAAAACCCCACAATTGCTTCCTCCATCTCACGACACATTTTGTTGAAAGAGATTAAGCGTGGCAAACGAGAGAATGAGCCAACTGGCGTCGCCTCTGCAGTGTTACCAGTGTCAGTGTTTTCCAGACTCCTGCTGTTTATACAAAAGCCAGAACTCAAATGACTTCGCATTCCATGTTGCTTCAGATGCATTAAAAGGACAAAACTGATCTACCGTTTCTTTTTCGTCAAGTGTATTTTACAACGATTTCAAAATCCGCCGTTAAAAAAAACGAAGGCAAAACCGCATAAAGAAGATTGAGATGTGTAAAATGATGTAGAGTCAAATGTCTATTATTTTGTATGCTTTTTGAAGTAGTATAATATGAATTTTTTCTAAAAAAATAATAATAATAATAATAAAAGAACAAGAGCTGACTATTCTGGGTGATTTGAGAGTCCATAGGAGAATTTAAAAAAATAATGTATGATATATAGGTTGAGTTTTAAGTACGCGATCATGTTTGAACTCAGAAGAGCCACTATCTGCAATTTTGTACATGGCGTATTTGGGAAGGCTGTTTGGGTTTTTTTTTTCCCCCCGTCCCCCGGAAGAGGGAAGTATGTTCTGCAAAAGGTGCGTCGTTTTACTGTTGAACAGCAATGGCTATTTATTTTTTTATGACCCAATGCTTCAACGTGGATAGAAGGCAGATCTGGTAGTCCCACTTAGTTAGAAACTGAAGACTCCTTTGAATGTCGCAGTCCTCATTACAACCAGTACACCCGTCTCCTCACATGTGTTTAATGTGACAGTTTGAGTACTGTATGTGTTAATTTCTACTTTTTTTAATATTTAAAATTGCTTTTAAATAAATGTATTCAGTTGATCCCAAACACATCTGAATGTCATTTTATCAGCTAGAGCCTTCTGTGGGAGGAAAGAGTAGGTCTCGTTGGCCTAAAACCATACATTGTGTGTGTTTATTTAGTGGGCCAGGAAACTCCATAATATAGGACGAGGCTACAGAAAAGGGAAGCGTAGCAGGTTGATCCAGTGATCTATTTAGGCACCTTTTCGTTTGAGCCATTTGTGCCCATCCTTTCTTCTGATACTGGCACCCAGTGTAGCTTACAAGGCTATGCGGAGCTTAAAACAAGAATTGCCATTTCTGTGTGTACAACGGAGACCATCATGCTCACTAGGGTGTCCTCAGTTATCTGAACAAACAGATGTTTCTGGGTCCCTCGGGTTGTGCTGGGAGCTACAGCGTTCACTGATGGCTGACTACTGGCTGAGAGCCTGTGAGGAATCATTCGTGGCCAAGATTTGTGGCTTCAGGAGGAAGCCCTCTCTCTCTTTTTTTCTCTCTCTCTCTCTTTTAACTCTAAGCAGTTCTCTGTTAAATCCATTCTGGAGCACATTGAGCCCCCCCCGTCAGGCTACGTTTCTAGGTTGTGGTTATTTTGGTTCGTTCACAAAGTCATATCTGCATGCCTGGAGTTCCCTCCTTTAACTTTTAAAGGCCCTTCTAACCCTTCTCAAAAAGAACATTCCAGAGCTGGAAAAAGTACAGAAGAAGGTGACCGAGATTATTAGGGTGGTTGGAGCACCTTGCTTTGTGAGGAACGGTTGAAGTCTGGGACTTTTCATCTTAGGAAAGAGCTGACGAAGGGGGAACGGATGGACAAAAGGAAGCACTGCTTTATACAGAGAGTGATTAAAATGTGGAATTTGCTGCCATAGTCAGTTTGGTTATAGTGGTTAAGTGCGCAGACTCTAATCTGGGAGAACCAGGTTTGATTCCCCACTCCTCCACTTGCACCTGCTGGATGACCTTGGACAAGCCATAGTTCTGATAAGAGCTGTTCTTGAAAGAGAGCAGTTTTTGTCAGAGCTCTCTCAGCCCCACCTACCTCGCACGGTGTCTGTTGTGGGGAGGGGAAGTGAAAGGACTTTGTAAGCCGCTCTGAGACTCCTTTGGGTAGTGAAGGGCGGGGTATAAATCCAATCTCCTCTTCTTCTTCGTCAGAGGATGTAGTGACGGCCACAGGAATAAACAACTTTAAAAGGGGATTAGATAGATCCATGGAGAATAAGTCTATCAGTGGCTACTAGCCATGGTGGCCGAGGGGAACCTCCACATTCAGAGGCACTAATCCTCTGAATCCCAGAGCCAGGGGGCAACATCAGGGGAAGCCTTCGGCTTCTATGCCCTGTTGTTGGCCCTCCAGAGGAACTGGTTGACCACTGTGTGAGACGGGATGCTGGACTAGATGGACTATTAGTCTGATCCAGCAGGGCTCTTCTTATATCCTTACCGTGCCTGTGGCTGTTCTAGTTCTGTGGCTGTGGCTGTCTGCATGGAGGCCATCCAGTCTCCTGTTAGCTATAGTGACAATACTGAATTCTGTACTCTGGGTCCTTACCAAGAACTCTTGTGCATTGCATAAGATCTTGCAATCTCTGTGGATCTGTGCAAAAATCAAACTATTGCCTTTGAAGCTAATAAGAAAATAGTCGTTTGGGCGAATTCACAGGACCGAGCTTTGAGCATGATTGTTGTGGTTATCATGTGCTATCCTCTTTAATTGGTGTGTTTCTAATTAGCTGTAAAATGGTAATGACGCTGCCTTACACCGACTCAGTCCCTTGGTCCATCAGGGTCAGTATTGTCCAGTGTCCACTCAGACTGACAGTGGCATTCCAGGCAGAGGTCTTTCACATCAGCTACTGCCAGATCTTTTGACTGGAGATGCCAAGGATTGAACCTGGGTCCTTCGGCATGCCAAGAGATGCTCTACCACTCAGCCACGGCCCCTCGCTCTTGCCTTCACAGAAGGATGTGCGGTCTGAATGTTAGTGACAAAAAGTTCTTTGTGTGGCGGTCTGTTTAAACAAAGAGTTTAAACTTGTTTAGCTCAGTTTTAGCTGGTGCTAGATGCAAGAGCCCCATTTCACAATCAGAGCCAGTTTGGTGTAGTGGTTAAGTGCACGGACTCTAATCTGGGAGAACCGGGTTTGATTCCCCACTCCTCCACTTGCATCTGGCTGGATGACCTTGGGCAAGCCGTAGCTCTGATAAGAGCTGTTCTTGAAAAAGAGCAGTTTCTGTCAAGAGCTCTCTCTGCCCCGCCTACCTCACAGGGTGTCTGTTGTGGGGAGGGGGAGGAGTTAGTAAGCCGCTTTGAGACACCTTCGGGTAGTGGAGGGCGGGGTATAAATTCAATCTCCTCCTCCTCCTCTTCTTCTTATGAAGAAACCTTCAGTCTTGCACTCAACCCATGGAAAAGGCAGATGGGGCTGACAGGTGGAGACTCCACATCATCTTCTCTCAGACCCCTACTGTGGACAGCGCTGGCTCTTCGGCTTTGAAACGGAGATGAGCACCGCAACCCTAGAGTCAGATTCGACTGGCTTTCGAGCAAGGGAACCTTTACTTTACCTTTAACCAGAAACAGGACTGGGGCTTTTTTGGAGACGTTTGACTTTTATGGCACATCAGAACAAGCACTCTGTGTTCACACTGAGCCACGCACAATGCAGTTGGCGACAGTCCAGCTTCCTAAGGCACTCTGAAAGGTGACGCACTTCAGTTTGTAGCTGGAAATTTATTTCCCAGGTGGGTGGCTTTTATCTGGCCTCGCATCACTTATAAATGTACTACGATCTTTATGAAAAGGCCTCTTAAGTGGGAGGGAACAAACGATTCCTGTGCATTGTCTTGAGTGAACCTGGCTTGCGGTTATATAACGGCATTGGGATGGAAGTGTAGGCAACCTGAGAGTTCCTACTTGGCTTCTACAATGCGTGGAGTTGAAAGCAATCTTCTAAGTTGCACGTTACATAAGGCACCTTACTCTTAAAGCATGCTACAAACTGTGCTGTTAATCTACTACCTCGTGTACAAGACATGTCCATGGTATCTGAGGCAGCGTAGAAGAGTCTTGTGTTTAGACACAAGGTTTCCATTCTAGCAATGAGTATTATTAAGCCCAGTCAAAACCAACACGTGACCTTCTGCTGGGATATTCCACTATGCAGGTGCTGAACTACATCTTGATACAAATTCGAGAGGTGGTCTTCGTTTCGTGGCCAGTCATCTCTCCCGCCCATATATTCCAGCTTTCATGTTACGCATATGGAGTCCCTCCACACAGCTAGGGAGGAAAGGTGATCGTGGACTAGCCTGCGCCTGGGTCTTCTACGGTGCGATGAAGGAGGGCTTGCGTGTGAATGCAGCTCTGACTTTAGAACCCGAAACTTCCCCATCAAAGTGGGATAGACCTCGTGTTACATGTGCTGTAATGATAGGTTGTATAGCTACATTTCTGTAGGAGCGTCCTCTCTCGGGAAGTTGCCTGGAGGTTGCTGTTACAGAAGTAGGAAATGCTATATAAGGAATGCTGATAGACTCAAGATGCGAGTCCAGCAGCGGCTTAGAGACCAGTAAGAGT